AAGTCCTTTTTTTAAAAGTCCACTTTCCCACAAATGTACAGGTGTAAACATACTGCTGCTAATGTACAGGTGTAAACATACTGCTTCTAATGTACAGATGTTAACATACTGCTGCTAATTTACAGGTGTAAACATACTGCTGCTAATGTACAGGTGTGAACATACTGCTGCTAATGTACAGGTGTGAACATACTGCTGCTAATGTACAGGTGTAAACATACTGCTTCTAATGTACAGATGTTAACATACTGCTTCTAATGTACAGGTGTAAACATACTGCTTCTAATGTACAGATGTAAACATACTGCTGCTAATGTACAGATGTAAACATACTGCTGCTAATGTACAGATGTAAACAAACTGCTGCTAATGTACAGGTGGAAACATACTGCTGCTAATGTACAGGTGTGAACATACTGCTGCTAATGTACAGGTGTAAACATACTGCTTCTAATGTACAGATGTTAACATACTGCTGCTAATGTACAGGTGGAAACATACTGCTGCTAATGTACAGGTGTGAACATACTGCTGCTAATGTACAGGTGTAAACATACTGCTTCTAATGTACAGATGTTAACATACTGCTTCTAATGTACAGGTGTAAACATACTGCTGCTAATGTACAGATGTAAACATACTGCTGCTAATGTACAGGTGTGAACATACTGCTGCTAATGTACAGGTGTAAACATACTGCTTCTAATGTACAGATGTTAACATACTGCTTCTAATGTACAGGTGTAAACATACTGCTTCTAATGTACAGATGTTAACATACTGCTTCTAATGTACAGGTGTAAACATACTGCTGCTAATGTACAGATGTAAACATACTGCTGCTAATGTACAGATGTAAACAAACTGCTGCTAATGTACAGATGTAAACATACTACTGCTAATGTACAGTGTAAACATACTGCTGCTAATGTACAGGTGTAAACATACTGCTGCGAATGTACAGATACTAACATATAACTACATATTGCTTGCACTGGAAAACACAGTACTTTATACTTGCTGCTTATTTTTTCCCAATTTAGAGATGTTTTACTTGTTTCTTTGATGGTAGAGTTAGAGATTTTATTTCATTTGAATTAGTTATTGTTCTTTTATTTTGTGCCATGTGCTCCTCATTCCTTCTCTTCTGTAACTTGTGATGCAACACTGACATTTCCCCACAGTGGCACGAATAAAGGATCTCTTAATTTCTTAACATAATATTTATCTTTATTGATATACTATATCCAACAGGCATCAAAGCAGTGTAGCAACACTCAAGAGGTAATAGATTATTATAGACATGCATCATTGGGGCTGGTTTTGTGCCTGAATCACCTCCGTGGATCCTGAACCTGCACGGCTTCAGCTGTCTCCCGTGCAGTGTCTATAACAAGCTCAGTATATTTTAGGTGTGAAGACGTATGACAGGGCACACGCTATTATGCGAGCTACTCGGGATCTGTGGGGCTATTTAAAGACTTAAATTCTGCTTTGAACTGGACTTCATGGGATGCAATGTGACGGACAGTTGAGGAACTCTTTCTGCTTGAGGAGTGGTGATTAGGCATTATATTTGCACACAAAATGAGAATGCTGATGGGTCCCTGGCACACAGACATGTGTGCCTTGACAGCCCATTCTTACTAAGCTGTATTGTTATAGCGGCTGCCATGAATTCAGGTCAGCAGCCAGAGTTTCAAACTTTTAACCACATTATGACACTAAACTTTTCCTAATTGCATTGACCCATGTTTTAGTTTTTGTATGTGATTTATTACCATGGATTATTGGCCAAAATGGGTTTGTATGGACTTCTTTAAAAAGGCAGAGTGCAGCTACAACGTTGTGTAAACTTTTGTCTTCTCACCTCCACTGTTCCTGGAGCACATTCTTGTTACATCAGCACATAGGCCTCCTCCAGGGGTCTCCTGATAAACTGCCAGGTGCAATATCCAATGTGGTACAACATGTTTAGTATTGTGGGATAAGACTCTGTGCTTCCAGTTCTGTAGTTCTGAAGCTTTCAGAAGTTTGAGCTGTGAGAAAACATAGGAGTGCACAGTCATTGTGCCATAACGTTTCGATATGAAACACTCTTTCAGTGCAACAATTAGGTCGGTCTTATGCAATTTCACTTCCATACTGACCTCATACTCATTTGCATATTTGAGGCATTCTGGTGATTTACAGCACAGAGGCAATTAAACTAAAGGATGTCTCGAGGGCTTCCACCTGGCTGAACCTATGCAACCCCCTTTGATCTCTATAAATGGCTGCATTTACTCTGCAGACCTTATCTGAATGAAATTCAATTATTTCTGAATTCAGCATCACCACCAAAAGAGTGGGGAAAAGCCTTTATCACAGCATGATCTGCTGCTGTAGCAGTGATGAACATGTGTGTAGTTTCACTGCCCCCTCATGGTCAGACAGTGACAAATACTTTGTGTCGGTCACGTCCTGAGGGTCATGACTGTATTTTTGTTGAGCTGTGGACTCAAGGGCATGGGGACCTACTAAAATCTATGATAGCCTTTGTTCAAAACCATCTGGGTGTTAATGGCATCCTCCATTCTTGGAAATCATTAAACAATAAATAAACATCTGTTCTAAACAAGTGCCATGCCACATATGGTCGCCAAGAATGATACCTTCGTAAATTCACAGCTCTTTAATCTTGACTGTGACCTGACAAACACAATCCTGTTTGGTTCTCTTTTAAGGACTTTTCAATGTGGCTACGTTCAAAATACAGTTTCAACATGAAACCGATTGGGAGGCGGCAAAGAGCTAGAGGTTGTTGGATGCTATTTATTCCAAATACATTCAGTGCAAACACTCAGTGGTCTAGTGGCTCCACTCTCCACAGACGTGGCTGGTACTTTAATTTAGCAGCAACCATAAGTAAAGGATGATTAAAATGGATGACCTGGTGCAGAGTGATATATTGCATGAAAAGTTTAAAGTTGTGTCCATGGCATATTTTATCTTCAGGAGCAGCAGCACTTGTCTCTTCCTGTGATTGAATGTTGTGACTAGACTTCTTGATGGGGATGTGTTGGACAAAGGGGAATATTGTGGTTATAAAAGTAGCGGCTTAACATTGAAAAACAGCAGATAAGCGGGCACCCATCCGACATTGTTTCTTCTTCCAGTTTGACAGGGCCGAGCGAGCATTGTTGCAGCTTTGCATACTGAAAATAAGATGTAGGCAACCCTTTGTCAATGTACATTTATGACCACATTTTAAGATTTTGACACAAATGTATAAATAACTCAAAGGAAAAACACACACAGACAATGTATCGTCTTTTTTTCCCTCCATCCAGTCTGATATTATGTAACTAGCTTGTGAAACCCTGATCTCGTCAGAAGCAAGTTGGGGCTTGATCAGCACTTGTCTGGGAAACTTCTCTGGGGGAAACCAGGTGCCACAGTGGGACAAATGTGGTTCTAAACAGTAGGTAATAATTGATCCCCAGGGTTCGTATACTTTTTATACAATGTAAAAGTGATTACACTTTGGTGGTGATTTAGATCATTTGTTTACGGAATATGTTTGTGCTTTGTCCACCTGCTGGCTCTGAAGAGCGAGTCTTAAGCATGGAAGAAGGGAGGACATGCAATCCAAGGAAAGTGGAACTTTAGCGACACCTGAGATGGACCATGGATTTTTAATTCCAACAGGGACGTGCGGTGAGGTTTGTGATTGGGGAGGCACTGACTTTAAAAGTCAGATTTACAATCATTATTCAAATAAAATAGCATTTAATCACCAATGCAATGACATCCACAAACTTTATATACTGTAAAGATAAGAGAACCAGCTTCTTTTAATAATCTCACAACAAATCTAGCTGCTGACTCTGCTCCGCATCAAACAACATCTTTAAGAAGCGCAGGTGCGAGAGACGCGAGGAGAGAGAGACGCGAGGAGAGAGGAGCAGAGAGAGACAGAGAGGAGCAGAGAGACGGAGACGCGAGGAGCAGAGAGAGACGGAGACGCGAGGAGAGAGAGACGCGAGGAGAGAGGAGCAGAGAGAGACAGAGAGGAGCAGAGAGAGACGCGAGGAGCAGAGAGACGGAGACGCGAGGAGCAGAGAGAGACGGAGACGCGAGGAGAGAGAGACGCGAGGAGAGAGGAGCAGAGAGAGACAGAGAGGAGCAGAGAGACGGAGACGCGAGGAGCAGAGAGAGACGAGACGCGAGGAGAGAGAGAGACGCGAGAGAGAGGAGCAGAGAGAGACAGAGAGGAGCAGAGAGACGGAGACGCGAGGAGCAGAGAGACGGAGACGCGAGGAGAGAGAGACGCGAGGAGAGAGAGACGCGAGGAACATAAACAATAATTTAAACAAGTTGCAGAACTCTTGAGCAGTGTTTGAATCAGTGTTTTTCGGAAAAGCACTACTTTGCCGGTATCTGTCAATGTTCAACATAAAACACAGATTAACAAACTCCTCCCCCGCAGCCGGACTAACCTCGTAAGTCCAGTGGTGGTCTCCCAGTCTATATTAATTATTTCTTTGTTTGAAAGTCCAATTGAGAAAAAAAATCTTCATTCAAATCATCCATTTTCCAGCAAAAGAAATAGCATTTTGGGCTGATTGTTTGTTAGCAACTCTGGTATGAACTTTATGCTCACTATCACCCCTAGCGGTGAGGCACAGATACCGCCTGCCTCACGCCAAGCTTTTTCCTTGTGTGTTCATCTACGATCAAAAGACTTAAACTAAATATAAATTGTACACACATACGTGCAATACACTACTAAACACTAAGAGGAGTTTAAAAAATGTTTTTAAAGCAGGATATTTGAAACAAACGGTGATATATCAACTGCACGAGCTGAGTGCACTCAGACACACACACACACACTGTGAGGGAGCGGTCTGGGGTGAGGCACGCAGGAGCGCTGCCTCACCTCGTCTCTTTGA